GGGATTGGACTGGACTGTGGGACAGAAAGTGATACTCGTGAGGAGTGTGCCTCCTAGCTCAAGTAGATACAAGAGACTAAACAGGCAGCTCTGTCCAGAGGTGAGATGGGAAGGCAGAGAGGGTTAGGAGCTGGTTGAATGGACATGGGGAATCAGGGGTGGAAAGGAGGAGTGTGCTGTCACTTTATGGGGAGAGCAGTTAGGGTCACATAACAGTGTATGTATAAATTTTTGTATGGGAGACTAACTTGAAATGTAAACTTCATTTAAACAACAACAAAAACAAACAAACAAAAAATACCAGCTGCTCACAGGTGGATGAATTTATGTCTGGATTCTCAAGTCTGTTCCACTGGTCTATGTTTCTGTTGTTGTACCAGTACCAGGCTGTTTTGATTACCGTGGCGGTATAATAGGTTAAAAAATCAAGTAGTATGAGGCCTCCCACTTCGTTCTTCTTCTGCAGTAATGCTTTACTTATCCGGCGCCTCTTCCCTTTCCATATGAAGTTGATGATTTGTTTCTCCATCTCCTTAAAAAATGCCACTGGAATTTGGATCGGGATTGCATTGTATGTGTAGATTGCTTTGGGTAGTATCGGCGTTTTCACTATGTTGAGTCTTATATCTATGAGCAAGTTAGGTTTTTCCGCTTATGTAGGTCTCTTTTGGTTACTTGCAGTAGTGTCTTGTAGTTTTCTTTGTATTGGTCTTTTATGTCTCTGGTTAGATTTATTCCTAAGTATTTTATCTTCTTGGGGGCTATTGTAAATGGTATTGATTTGGTGATTTCCTTTTGGAAATTCTCTTTGTTGGTGTAGCGGAATCTAACAGATTTTTGTATGTGTGTCTTGTATCCTGATAGTTTGCCGAAATCTTCTATTAGTTCCAGTAGTTTTCTTGTGGATTCTTTAGGGGTTTTCTGTGTATAAGATCATATCATCTGCAAACAGAGATCCTTTTACTTCTTCCTTACCAATTTGGATGCCCTTTATTTCTTTTTCTAGCCTAATTGTTCGGACTAGGACTTCCAGCACAATGTTGAATAAGAGTGGTGATAAAGGGCATCTTTGTCTGGTTCCCATTCTCAAGGGGAATGCTTTCAAAGTCTCTCCATTTAGGATGATGTTGGCTGTTGGCTTTGTATAAATGCCCTTAATTATGTTGAGGAATTTCCCTTCGATTCCTACAAACGAGTATTTTTTAAAAATCAAAGAAAATGAATGCATAGATAAAGAAATACAGCAAGTAAAATAAAAACAGTAAAAATATAGTAAAATTGAGACCAAATGTATCAATCATATCAACAGGGTTGTATCTCTTATTAAAAGAAAAAGATGTTCAAATTGGTTCACAAAGTAGCACCTAACCACCAACCTTTAGGTTACTAGTGGAGCACAAACTGTTTGCACCACCAAGGGAGCTATTTTTATACTAGATACAGACAAAAGCTGAAACAAAGTGATTCAAAGTCTGAAAATAAAGAGATGGGTACAGGAATACCAGGCAAAGGGTTTGTGTGTGCATGTGTTTGTGTGTGCCTGCTGTCTTTATCGGCTTTAGGTATCAATGTTATACTTGCTCTGTAGAAAATGTTTTTATGTTTTTCTTTTTCTATCATGAAGCTCTGGTTGTGCAGTGGTTAAGAGCTCAGCTGCTAACCAAAAGGTCAGCAGTTCGAATCCACCAGCTGCTCCTTGGAAACCTGATGGGGCAGTTCTACTCTGTCCTATAGGGCTGCTATGAGTCGGAATCGACTCTACGGCAATGGGTTTGGTTTTTTGTTTTTTTTCTATCATGTGGAATAATTTATGCAGTAGTGGTCTTTGAAGATTTGGTAGAATTCCTATGTGAAATTGTGTGGGCCCGTTGCTTTTTTTGTGCAGTAATTCTTTGATAACTTTCTCTATTTTTTTCTGTGGAAGTCAATTTTAGAAAACTGTATTTATCTAGATTATACATTTCATCTAGGTTTTTAAATCTGTTAATCAAAAGATGTGCCAAGTAGTCTCATCCTTTAAGAAAATTCCCTGTTTCAGTGGTTGTTCCTCCTTGGCATTTCTTACTCTGTATTCTTGTGCTCGTATCCTCTGCCCCCTCCCCTTTTTTTTCCTCAATTAGGTTAGCTAGTAGTAGTCTATTTTGTTAATTTTTTCAAAGAACCAGGATTTTTATTTATTTATTAGTTCTATATTATTCTGTTTTACTTCAATTTCTGGTTTATCTGTGTATTTCCTTCTATATACTTTCTTTCAGTTTACTTTGTTGTTCTTTTTCTAGCTTTCAGAGTCGGAATTTTAATTCATTTATTTTTATTGATGTAAATAATGAAATGCTATACAACTGATGGGAATATTTCAGAAGGACATATGAGCCAACCTCTAGAGGCTCCCACTGGACAGACATGGGACAATTTGAACATCAAAAAGAATAATGACAGTAATAGATTGTAACACAGTGAATAAATAGTGAATAAGAAAAAAAATCCACACGTCCGTAATGATATTTAAAAAAATTGAGTGTGCGATGGAGGAAGGGAAAGCCTTCTTTACAGAAGAATGCCAACCAATAAATGCAGGAAGAACAGTATTCACACATTCTCAAAGAAATACCCTCAGATTGCATATTAATTACAATGAAAAAAATATGATGGATACCACCCTAACCAAGTGATCAAACTTAAAACCACCAATCATGGTACAAATCAGTATCACATGCTTTCTGATATCTTGTACTAAGAAGAACCCAATATCACCCACATAGAATTCTTGTCAAAAATATTTTAACCTGGATCCAGTCATTGGGAAACAATGAGGTAAATGCACATTAAGGGATATTCTGCAAAATAACTGGCCTGGACTCAAAACTCAATGTCAGGAAAAAAAGTGGCAGTGGAGCTGTTTTAGATTAAAGAAGACTGAAGAGAGATGATAATGAAATGTAATATTTATTAGAATATTGTGTTAATGTTAAATTTCTCGAGTGTCATAATTATATTGTGGTTCTAGAAAAGCGTTCACTCTTATGAGTGAGATATCCTTTGACTTACTGAGAAGTGAAATGTCATCTGCAACTTGTCATTGCTCATCAAAAATTTTTAAAGTGTGTATGTGTATATATATATGTGTATAGATAAATATTTGCATGTGTGTGTATGTGTATATATATATGGAGCCCTGGTGGCACAGTAGTTAAGGAAGGGATATATGGATTTCTTTGTACTATCCTTTCAACTTTTCTGTAAGTTTGAAATTTTCTTAAAATGTTGGTAGAAGTTAGGCCTTCTCAAAAAAGAAAAAAAGAACCTATGCAGAAAAATGTACTAAGCCCAAGAAATTTAAGGCTTTTTTTTCCTTGATAAATTGTGTCTTCTGTTCACTGTCAGGACTAGTCTTTCAATCTAGTTCATAAAGAGGACCCCACCCCCCACCCGGCCTTAGCCCATTGACTTTTCTCTCAACTCTTCCTTGTCCTACACTGAAGACACTTTAGTCTTACTTTGCTTTCCTTTATTCATTCTGAACAATCTAGTTTCTTTCTTTTCTTTCTTCCCTCTGCAAATGAGCGTGCGCAAGCTCTTTCACTGACACTGACAGTAATAACTCGCTGCTGGAGATGAGACAGAGCACTGGAGTGGGGGTTTTTCTTAATGCTTTCAGGGTTGGCTGTGGCAAGTTAACAACAGGTCCCTTCTGTTTAGGATGAGGGACTAGAAAAGGAAAAAGAATAACTTCTTAGCTGTTTTTTTGTTGGCTAGATCCAGGATTCCTTATTTCCCTCCCTGAGCGTTAGTCTCTGTCTGCATCTTACTCTTGAAAAGTCTGTCATTTACATGGGCTCATGTCCTTGAAATGATCTGACTGTTAAGGTCCAGGGAAGTTTTGTACTTACTATAACAAAGTTTCCCTTTGTCTTGTCTTCCCCCTCCCCACAGACAGAAGGACTCTACCCTGCCTTTTGCACTAATTGGCTGAATGCCCACAGCCTGGTCTGAAAGTCTCCTCTCTTCCTTTCAGATGACCCAGCAGATGGCTGGGATGAACTTCTATGGAGCCAACGGCATGATGAACTACGGACAGTCAATGAACGGCGGAAATGGACAGGCAGCAAATCAGACTCTCAGTCCTCAGATGTGGAAATAAAAACAAAGCACCTGTATGGCTACCACTTTCCTCTCCCTTTCTCTTCTTTCCCCAACACCTCCCTCCCTATCCCACTTTCCTGCCTCTCTCTGTTTCGTTTCAAAATTGCTCAATACGTCATTTGGGGCTTGGCATTCTGCCCAGCCCTGCCACTTCCCAAACATGCAGACCTCTCTGTTGCTTTATGTTGCACATGTCCTGTAGCCTTCCTGACTTCCCTCCCCAGCCTCAGCCCCTGGTCATCGCCTGGCACCAGCACCTTAGAAATTGTTGGCAGAAGGCACTTAACTGTGGGAGAAACGTGCATACCACTGAGTACCCTTCCCTTGAGGATAAACCTCCCATCAGACTCTGAGAAAGGTCTGTAGGTGGTGTTTTAGGCAAAGAAGGAGAGGGTTTAGAGGTCCTTTTATATGTGTCAATAAGCTATTTCTAAGTTTTAAAATTTACGGTTGAAGAGAGAGGCATCATGCTTCCATGATTTATGGGAATGAACAAAATACTGAAATCAAATTAAGTACTCCTTGTGTCTTGGATAGGTTGTCACTAGCCCTGGGGTGAGGCAAGACCCCTCCCATGAGGATGAGCAAAAATATTGCTCCACTTTGCCCTGAGTAGCTTTCTGCATCTAAGGCTCCCAGGCCCACTTCTTCAGTCAGCCAAAGACTTTATGAAAGTCCTACACAAACACACACACCTCCCCAATTCCACGCTGCCTTCAGTGCGAGATGGGCCCATGGCTGGAGAACCAACCCCTTCAATGGGAATGCAGAGCTTAAAGTGTGTACTTCTTGTGTGTGTGTGAGGATTCTTCCTCCCACCCACTCCCCATCTGCCCTAGGTGTTTTGGTTTGGTTTTAGGTTTACAACAGAGAGGAGTTAATTTATCAACAGCTTAAAACTGTTGCCAGTTTTTCTTATAGTTAAAAAAAATTGTGATCTCGTTTATAGCTCTCTTCTTCCTTTCCCCTCTCCCAACCTGCCAATCACTCTTTCATGCCTCTGTATCCTGGGGTGTTCTGTTTCCTCACCTTTTCCAGGTATATGAGGCAGAGAGCCTGGACAGCTTTCCTACCAGTCATTGTTCACCCCACTTGAAAATTAAAACAAGAAAACTTTACTTAAAATATTCCCCTGTGGGAACCACAATTCCTGGTTGCCTTTCTCCTGTGTATGTGTAAATTCCTTAATAAATATCGCAGGGAAGGACTGTTTGCTTGGCTCTTACTGTGTGTCAGTCTTGGAGGAGGGTAAGTTGCACCTGGGTTTTTTGCTTTTCAGGGGCAGTTCCTTCACTTCCTGTACTTAAAAAATACTGTACTGGACATATGCAAGGGCCAGGCCCAGGTTCAAGCAGTCAGACAAGGGGTCTTCAGTGGTATCTAGAGTTGTGAGCTGAATATTCTAGACGGATAGTAAGTAGCACATGAACAAAGATATAGAGAGCTACAAGAGCACAGAACATTTAGGGGAAGCAAAAGCACTTCAATGTTTCTAAGGTATGATGTGAGTCAGGGTGTTTGTTGTTACAGGTGACATGGGTGAGGGGTCAGGGGCCAGATCATGGGGGGCTTCCTATGCCCTAAAAAGGAGTTTAGCCTCAAGTGTTGTAAACAGTGAAGTCACGTGGTCAGATCTGAGTTTTAAGTAGCTCACTCTTGCTTCACTGTGAAGAATGTGCTTGAGGGAACAAGACTAGAGCTAGGGGACCAGAGAGATGGCAAGAGCTGAACCAGGTCCATGGTAGTAAAGTTAGGGGAGAATAGAGTGGCTAAGAGCAGCAAGTCAGAAACTGTTCATGAAGCATATGAGATGCTGACAGGTGTTCACAAAAACCCTTAAATAAGATTGGGAAAGACTGAATGTTACATTACCTCTTGTATATATAGAATATAATATCCACATGGAAACCCTGGTGGCGTAGTGGTTAAGAGTTTGGCTGCTAACCAACAGGTCAGAAGTTCGAATCCACCAGGTGCTCCTTGGAAACCCTATGGGGCAGTTCTACTCTGTCCTATAGGGTTGCTATGAGTTGGAATTGACTTGATGGTAACGGGTAGTATCCACATAGTAATGGCCCTGACTCATAGTGACTCTATAGGACAGAGTAGAACTACCCCATAGGGTTTGCTAGACTGTAATCTTTATGGAAGCAGACTGTCACTTTTTTCTCACATGGAATGGCTGGTAAGTTCAAACCACTGACCTTTCAGTTAGCAGCTGAGCGCTTAACCACTGTGGTGGGGTTGCTAGAGTCAGAATCTACTCCACAGCACACAACAACAGCAACAGCAATGGCTCCGAAAAGACCTGCAGAGACTTTTTTATGGCTTGCTAACTTATTTTAACATTTTTTTCTGGACTATTTAATAATCACAGAATACCATTTGGGAAAAACATCCAGAAAAATATTGTAGGAGAATAAGTTCGGAGCTCTCAGTAATGGATGAGATGTGGGAATGGAGAGGAAGCAGTTGCAGAATTCTTCTAAGTTTCTAGCTTGTGTGAGAGAATTAGGATGAGGAGAAACTGGCTTTTCTCTCTAGAAGGGAAGAAGAGGATAATTAGGAGCTCTATTTTAGGCATATTGAATTTGTGCTGCCTGTGATATATCCAGGTCTGACTGATCAGCTGGAAATTGTATTTAAGAGTCTGAGGTTTACATGATCTTATCAATTGATGCAGAAAAAGCATTTGACAAAGTCCAATACCCATTCATGATAAAAAAAAAAAAAAAAATTCTCAGCAAAATAGGAATAGAAGGGAAATTCCTCAACATAATTAAGGGCATTTATACAAAGCCAACAGCCAACATCATCCTAAATGGAGACAGTCTGAAAGCATTCCCCTTGAGAACAGGAACCAGACAAGGATGCGCTTTATCACCACTCTTATTCAACATTGTGCTGGAGGTCCTAGTCAGAGCAGTTAGGCTAGAAAAAGAAATAAAGGGCATCCAGATTGGTAAGGAAGAAGTAAAAGGATCTCTGTTTGCAGATGATATGATCTTATACACAGAAAACCCCAAAGAATCCACAAGAAAACTACTGGAACTAATAGAAGATTTCAGCAAAGTATCAGGATACAAGATAAACACACAAAAATCAGTTGTATTCCTCTACACCAACAAAGAGAACTTCCAAGAGGAAATCAAATCAATACCATTTACAATAGCCCCCAAGAAATTAAAATACTTAGGAATAAATCTAACCAGAGACGTGACCTATACAAAGAGTCTGAAGTTCAAGGAAGAGGCCAAGCTGGAGAAATTAATTTGAGAGCCCCATGGAGGTGGTAGTTGATGCCATGGCAGTAGATAGGATTATGTAGGGTGGGTTTGCAAAATAAGAGTAGTGGCCTGGGGACAGAACCTTGGGGAAGACACTAATTTTTAACAGGAGTTAAGCAAGGAAGGGCCCAAGAAGGAGAGAAGGTAGAGTAGGGATGAGGAGGAATAGTCAGATAGTTATGGGGAAAGGAAAAAACAAAAACAAAAAAACAGGAAAGTGCAATGTTAAGTAACCTAGGGCTAGAATATCAAGGAGGGAGTGATGATAGGTGTCAAATACAGCAGGAAAATCTAGTGAATGAGATAAGGACTAATAAAAAGGACTATGGAATTTGGTATTTGAAAACTTATGCAAAAGCAGTTTCAGTGGAATGGTGGGACCAGAAGCTAGATTATGCTGTGCTAAAGAATGACTGGGTGTTGAAAAAGTACAGAAGCAAACTCTATTAAATTAAACATACATAGTAAGATTTTAAGGATTACTTTAAAGAATAGAAATAGAATATATAAATCCCAAACCAATAAAGAGAAAAAACTGGAATAAGAAAACACAAATAAACAAAAATTTCAGTGAATCCTCCCTCCCCAAGAAAAAGCCAAGATAAGAAGAAAAAAAAAGAGCATAAAAAAGTGGAGCAAATAGAATTCAAATGTAAGATGTTTGAAACAAGTCTAAATACCTAAAAATACAATAAATATAAATAAAATAGACCCAATTAAAATACTGAGATTGATTGGATTTTTAAAATCCATTCTTTCTTGCCACTCAGACCTTTCCTCTAGAATCACATTCATTCACCCTGGGTATATCCTTTGGAAGTTCCTTTAGTGAAATCTCTTCGAGTCTTGCCTGAAGCATAAGGACAGAAAAATGTTTAAAACGAATGGAAAAGGAAAGATCAGTTAAATATTAACAAAAAGACAAAAGTATTGAATAAATATTAACAAAATAGACTTTAAGACAGAAAGCCTTGTTAGAAATAGGATTTATATATAAGAATAAAAGGTTTAATTCAGAAGGAAAATATAACAATTTTAAACCAGTATGCATTTTTTTTAAAGCCCCAAAATAAGTAAAGCAAAAATTGATAGAACTTCAGGGACAAAGAGACAGTACACCATGATAGTGGGAGGTTTCAATACACGGCCTTCAAATATTGATAGATCAAGAAAATGAAAAGGGTTAATGGAGATATGGAAGACTTAACACAATAACAAGCTTGATTTATTGGCTATAAATAGAATTCTCACCTAACAGAGAATACTGTTCTCTTCAAGCACACACGGGACATGAATAAAAGTTGACCCCTGTGCTACAAAACAAGTAGCAACAAATTTCAAAGATTTCGTATTGAAAGGCTAGATTCTGTGCGCACACACAATTAAGTTAGAAACAAATCATAAAAAATATAAATAGAAAATACTCATGCATTTGAAAACATGCTGGTAAGTAATGCCAGGTCCAAGAAGAAATTATACTGGTGGTAAAAAGGACTAAATAAAAAGCTACATATCAAAACTTGTGGGATGTAGCGAAAGCTTAGAGTCATAAATGCTTATATTAGAAAAGAAGACAGTGGTGAGTAGCGTCTGGGGTCTTAAAAGCCTCTGAGCAGCCATCTAAGATACTCCACTGGTCTCATCCCTTCGGGAGCAAGGGAGAATGAAGAGAACTGGATAAAAGGAAAAGATTAGTCCAAAGGACTGAAGGACCACAGCTACCAAGGCCTCCACCAGACTGAGTTCAGTACAGCTAGATGGTGCCCGTCTGCCACCACTGACTGCTCTGACGGGGATCACAACAGAGGGTTCTGGACAGAGCTGGAGAAGGATGTAGA